AAAAAAAAAAAAAAGAATACTTTGCCAACTTTGCCAGTAGTGGCTCACACCTGTAATCCCAGCAGCTTGGAAAGCTGAGGCAGAGGGATCACGTCCAAAGCCAGCCTCAGCAATTTAGCATGGCCCTGAGCAACTTAGTAAGATCCTGTCACAAATAAAATAAAATGGGCTGGGGATGTTGCTCAGTGGTTAGGCACTGATTCAAACCCAGATACCAAAAACAAACAAATAATACTTATAGGGAGATCACAAGACAGATGAAAGTGTTGCTTTCCATATTTGATGTTACTATCACTTAAAAAGTATTTTGCATATATTGTGCATTCTGTCCATTATGCACTTTAATTATTGTAAGTAATGGGGTTTCCTTTGGTGTGTGTGTGGTAATTATGGCTTCTTGCTTTGTGTTAACTTGAGCAACCATCTAGAAGGTATCACTGGAGAACTTTGGCTTAGAGTATTGGTGGAGTTCTTTATATAGCTCTCAGGGAAGTTAACACTTCATATAAAGATTTTGTCTGCTTTATAGGGCTCATTTTCTCAGAAAAGAGAGGCACAAGTTGCTGTGAGTACGAAGTTATTGTAAATTGCTGTAAACGGCATAGAATGAAGAGGAAACGTAAATTATAATAATGTTCTGCTGTATAGGCAAGAATGAAGTTGCAGCCGGGGTTATGGCTTACACCTGTAATCCCATTGGCTTGGAAGACTGAGGCAGGTGGATCTTGAGTTCAAAGCCAACTTCAGCAAAATCAAGGCTCTAAATAACTTGGTGAGACCCTGTCCCTAAATAAAATATAGAATAGGGTTGGGGATGTGGCTTAGTTATTGAGTGCCTCTGAGTTCAATCCCAGTACCAAAAAATGAAGTTGCAGACATTTGATAAGCATCAAACCTATATGATCAGGTGATTGCCCCAGCACCCCCATCCCAGTCGGTCACCTGAGACTGATGCCATTTCTGTTCATTTATTACCAGAATTGAGCATTTACTGTATGCCAGGTGCTGTGTTGGGCAACCTTGGAGACACTGAGAACAAATTGAACTTCTGGAGAATCTGTTAGGTTCCCACACGTGAAAGAAGAACCAGATTAAGGAGCGAGGCCTGGAGGGCAGAGCCTTACCGCTAAGTGGGATAAATTTGCCTCTTTATTGGTCCACCTGCCTCAAATTGCACCCTCCTGCTTGCTGATTCAGTTTGCTTCATTTTTTTTACATCAAATTTAACCAATTAGAGATCAATTTGAGAAATTCCAAATCCCTTCCTTTAAAAACTGAGTTGTTTTCAAGTGCTCTCATTAGGATGAACTGATATAACCAGATTTGGTTCCTCCCTAACACCAAACTGAAGGAAGCTGTCAAGATAACCAGCTTTGATTAGGATGCAGGTGATTTTGGAAGACCTAGTATACTGGTTTCCTGTGGCTGCTATAACAGATACCACAAACTTGGTGCCTTAAAATAACAGAAATTTATTCTGTTCTACTCTGGAGGCCAGACTCTGGAATCAGTAGCACTGGGTTGAAATCATGGTGTCAGCCAGGCCACACTTTTCAGGGATAGGGTGGGAATTCATTTTTTGCCTCTTTGGCTTCATTCCTCGACTTGTGGTAATGACACTCATATCTGTTCTCTGCCTCCATGATCACATTGCCTTCTCCTCCTCTGTGTGTGCCACACCTCCCTGTCTCCTTTCTTGTAGTAGTACTTATGGCTGCACCGTGGCTGTCCTAGGTAGCTGTCCATCTCCAGGTCTGCAGCTGAATCACATGGGCAAAGTTCTTTTTTTATCACATCAGGTGACCTCCCCAGGTTGTTGGAGTTAAGCCCTGGATGTTTTGGGAGGGTCATAATTAAGCCTTTTGCACTGATGAAGTGCCATTGTGGACACTAAGACAGCATTTGTGCCCCGAGACCCTGAGGGCTGAGCCTCCTCCTCTCCCTCCCTCCCTTCCCTTCCCCATTGCATTCTTCAGCCTTTCTCACCTTCTTGAATTGAGGATCTCTTGCTCCCAGGACTCAGAATTGATGCTACTATAATGTATTTATGCTGCTTTATAAGTTAGATGGTCTTCTTTACTAAGCTACTACCCTCATTACTATTTACATACATACACACACACACACACACACACACCCCAGTTCTGTCTCTATGCTAGCTCAACAAATCTCATCTTTCCCTCACTCTCCTTTCATACCTCCTCTTTTCATTGGCATCTGGGCTTTTGAACAGGTTATGCTCATGATCACTAGGCCTGTGCTTCAGAGACCTCTGGACATCCAGTCTGACTCTGCTCACTGAATGGCCTTGAGAAAGTTGCTGAGCCTCCTTTTCTGCATCTATAAAGCAGTGACAATAGCACCTACATCTAGACTTGCTGTGAGACTCAGAGCTGTCACATGGGTGAAATCCCTGGCAGACTGTCTGGACCATAGAAGCTGAAGCCCTGAGGTTCAGGCTTGATGTAGATGAGTACCTGTTACATTTCTGGAATGGTGCTGGACCCTCACATCACAATGGGGACAGAACTTGGTTGCTACCTTTTAGAGTGACACAAATTCAGGGAGGGAATAGATTAAAAAAACTGTTGGGAAGTGGGTGGTGATAGGAGGAATGAGAGAAGACTTCCTGGAGGAAGTGCTGTGTGAACTGGGTTCTGAAGTGTGAGTATCTGTTAGGTTCCCACATGTGAAAGAAGAACCAGATTAAGGAGGGAGGCCTGGAGGGCAGAGCCTTACGCTAAGTGGGATAAATTTGCCTCTTCATTGGTCCATCTGCTCAATCCAAAAAAAAAAAAAAAAAAATGAAGCAAACTGAATCAACAAGCAGGAGGGTACAATTTGAGGCAGGTGGACCAATGAAGAGACAACTTTATCCCACTTAGCGATAAGACTCTGTCCTCCAGGCCTCGCTCCTTAATCTGGTTCTTCTTTCACGTGTGGGAACCTAACAGATACTCACACTTCAGTATTTGTTTTCTAGGGCTACATAACAAACCACCACAAACTAGGAAACTTAAAATGATGGAAATTTATTCTCACAATTTTGGAGTCCACCAAGTCCAGATTCAAAGTGTCAGCAGGAGCATTTTCCCTTTTAAGGCTCTAGGGGAGACTCATTCCTTGTCCCTCTCAGCTTCTGGCAGAGCTTCCTTCCTCCTCTGTCTTCACATGGCCATCTCTCTGTGTGTCTCTCCTCCTCCATGTCTTCTCTCCTTAAAAGGACACTTGTCATTGGATTTAGAGTCTATCTGCCTAGGTAATCCAGGATGATTTCATCTCAAGATCTTCAACTTAATTATATCTACAAACAACTTTTCCCCAAAGAAGTTCACATTTTTATTACATTCCAGGAAGACATGTTTTGGGGGAAGAGAGGATACCATGCAACCTATTGCAGTAAGAAAGAGGTAGACAAGCAAAGCCGAGCAGAAAGGGTGCATTCAGAAAGGGATTGGCACACAGAGGGGCACAAAGGCATGAGGTAGCTGTCTGAGTTTGGAAAACCACATTGTGGATCATGAATTATGCAGAAAGGTGTGGCAGACAATGAATGGAGGGTCAGGTTATGGGGGAAGGATGAGGGTGGTACACTTGACACTAAGGAGTTTAACTTCTTTATGTCACAGTGGTTCAGGTAGAGATAATTAGGATTTGAATAAGGATTAGGGGTAGCTGAACATGTTTGACAGATAAAATTAACAAGGCTCAAAAAATGATTTAAAATGGTAAGAGAACAGAGAAGATGATAGCTGGATTTCTGGTCTTGGAATTGATCAGATGGTGATTCCACTGATATTGGCAATAGGAGAAAGAGAGGGCATTTGAGGGGGGAGGGTCTGGGCATGGGAACAGGGAATATAGGAGAAGAGGTCTCCTTTACTTTTGGACTGATTTTAAAGTTCATGCGGATATCCATAAGAGCGTGACTGGAAGACAGTAAGGGTATGAAACTGAAGGTCAGGGATAAAAAGGAAGCATCTTCAGATGTTGATAGACAGTGAGGGTGGATGGAATCCCTTGGAAGGGCTTAAAGGAGACAGGCAGGGGCCAAGATAGAATCATGGGGATGCTCATGGGCAAGACTGGGTGGAGTACATTGATCAAGAATGTAGATGGGAAGAGAAGGGAAGGAAAAGGGAAGCAGGAGAGCTTAGAGGGCCCTAGCATTCCTAGCAGCAAAGGTACAAATGGCTTCAGGAAGGAGATGATTGGTAGATTTTATATGGAAGAGAGCCAGAAAACATTTCTAAGACCCTAAAGATCCATTGGATTGAGCATGGAGACCATCATCAAACTGCAAGTTTCAGAAGAGGAGTAGAAACAGAAAGGGAGGCTCAGACTCTCTTTCTTCAACCTGGACTTTGAGGGTATGGGCGCCTCTCAGGTGATGAATTCAGACTGCCTGCTGGAAAGGACAATCTTCCTGGTTACCTGCTAGTTGGAGTTGAGTTGGGTATATCTTGTACCACAGTCCTCTTTATCTGTGGCAATACATTCCAAGACCCTCAGTGGATGCCTGAAACCATGGATAGTACAAAACCTTGTAGATACTATGCCGTCTTTATATCTATACATATATTATATATGATAAACTTTAAATTATAATTTAGATATGGTGAGAGACTAATACAGATAATGATAAACAGGCTAATCATAACAATATGCTGTAATAAAATGACCAGCATCACCACCCTTGAACTCTAGGGCCATTAGTAAGTAAAATAAGGATTACTTGAATGCAAACAATGTGACACTGTGACAGTCTGACAGTGAGACACCTACTAAGTGACTTACAGGAACCCAGTATGAATGCATTGGGCCAAGGGATGATTCACATCCCATCTCATGAAGGATAGAGCAGACAGGACTGGACAGCACAAGATTTCACCATGCTACCCAGCATGACATGCAATGTAAAACTTATGAATTATTTATTTCTGGAATTTTCCATTTAATACTTTTGGACTGTAGTTGACCTAGGACAACTGAAGTTGCAAAAGTGAGACTGCAGGAAGTGAAACCACAGGTAAGGGAGGACTACTGTGATAATGAAAAAACTCTCAGGTGGCTCTGATGCACAGGTCCATGGTCCTGCATTTAATTGATACCACTACTGTGCAGTGGCTTGTCAATAATTGGAGATTATATAATCTGATGTAAGATAGCTATGGCCATTGGTGCCTCTCAGGGGACAGTCAATGGTGGTGTTGTCCTGATTTTTTTTTCCTCATGACCAAATAATGACTGTGGTCAATATATACATAGCATCTCTTGCTTCCCAGGCTCTGCACTTCTCTGGACTCTAGAGTGTTGCAAATCTTTGCTTATTTATTCCCACAACAATGGGATGAGGATTGTGTTTATTTTATAGATAGGAAAACAGGCTTGGGAAATCCAAGGACACTTGACTCAAGGTGGTAGAGCTGAATACAATGGAGGCTAATCTAACTCCCAGCAGGATTCATATCTTTGATGGCATTGAGATTACAAATCACAGGAGACTTCTCAGCAAGATGCTTACTCCCACCTTCCAACAGCAAAATGTAGCTCCAGCTTTGCGAAGCAGAGGTCACATTCTAAACACACCCTCTGACCTGGTAGATTTGTTTTTCCTCTTAAGGAAAAGGGCTGCTCCCAAAGATGCAGGTAACCCAAAAGTCAACAGGTATTTGAATTCAATTCTCTCTCATTCTTGCTCTCCAATTATATAGAAATGGCTTCTGAACTCTTACACATCAGAAGTCTTGGAGGACATAGGTTCCTAGTTCCTCATCAGACCCAGGATTATTAAAAAGAATCTTTGAGGGGATGGCCCTGGAATCTATATCTTAAAAAAAGAAAGAAAAAAGAAATGAAAACAACTCCAGGTGATTCTGATGCTCAGGCCCATGTTCCTGCTATGCAGTAATTTGTCAATAATTCAGGATTTTTGTATGGTTATGTATTTGATATTAGATTTTGGCAGATGAATGGGATAATGAGCAAATTTTTAAAAAAAATCTTTTATGTCTTTGGTTCTGATAAGCTTATTAATATGGCAATCATTGGCTTTGTTTCCTTGTGTTAGGATTGTTAAGGAGTCCCTCATTCCTTAACTTACTGGCACTAGAGTAAAATCTGTGCAGGTAATTTAAAGCTAGCCGGAATTGCAGGGCTCATTTTGAGACAAGATGAAATCAATGTTATAGTAGATCTGGAAGCAGAGCGACCTAATGCTGCGACAATTCAAGATGTGGACGGGTTTGGACGGATAGAGGGTTGGTGGTGCCCTCTAGTGGTGAAACTCGCCAGCAACTTCTAAGAAAGGGACTGACGGCCGGAGAGGTTTTAAAAGAAGCTGGATTCAACTTGGGGCTTCCTGTTTGGAGACCTGGCTGTATCTTGGGAGGACACCTTGCCTCTCTGGCTGCAGGATTGTTATGTGCAAATGGAAAGGCTGGACGAAGGTGCCCGTGAATATGAGGTCAGCGCGTGCAAGGGGCTGCCCAAGAGAACGGTCGTAGGCAAGGTCTAGCGTGTGTTCTGCGCAGAGCCGGTCACAGCCCTGCTATCCATGTCACACAGGCTGTGTCCTCCACTGGTATGTGGGCCCTCCAAGCCTGGCACCTTGGTTTATCCATTTCATCTGGCACTGAATAAGCGAGCTCTTTTCTGCCTGCGGGCGTCGTGCAGGCATGCGCATGCCATGGCTTCTCTGAAGGGCAGATTGTTAGGAGGAAGTTCTCCTGCAAGGGGATTCTGTGTTTTTTCAGCCTGACTCTCCTTGAGAGCTTTTGCACATTGAGTGAGAAGGTCACTGCTTGCCAGAAGGCTTGGGTACTGGTACTGGCTTTCCACTGATGTGGTTTGACCTCCACAAATCCCTTCCCTGCCAGGGCTCTGGGGGGTCGATGCAGTTACAGCTAGGGGGCGCATTTGCTCCTTGTATATTTAAATAGCTCAGTTGAGACACCCGCCCCCCCCCCCATGCCTGGCAGAAGCCATGGGAAGAAAGTCACACAGGAAGAAAAGTAGAAAAAAGTGGAAAAGAATAGAAAAGATATCAAAGAAGAAGACAGGGAGGAGAGGAAAAAAAAGAAAAAACACGAGATTAGCAGATTCCACTAGTTTGTTCCACAAACATTTACCAAGCACCTGTGTATGACCGTTAATTTTATGTGCTAACTTGACTGGGCCATAACATTTGACATTTGGTTAAAGATCAATCTAGATGTGACTGTGAAGGTATTTTTTAAAAAAGAGATTAACATTTAGAGGGATAGTCTTTGAGTAGAGCAGATGATCCTCTAAAATGAGAGTGGGCTTCATCCAATCAGTTGAAAACCTTCAGGGAAAAAGACTGAGGTCCCCAGAGGAGAAGGAATTCTGCTTCCAGAGTGCCTTGGGACAGGAGCTGCAGCATTCACCCTTGCCTGGGTCTCTGGCCTGCCCTGCCCACCCATCCTGCAAACTTTGGGATTCTGAGCT